TAAGCAGTTTTCCCTTGGTATTATAAACACCCTAGCCATGAACAGTTCTGTGTGCAGGCCTTTTGTTATTCTGCGCAACCATAGTTAATAGAGAGAAATGGTTAGAAAGGCTGGTAAACATCAAAGGAGCAAATAAACAGACTAACATTTATGTTGGAATGCTCTTGACTCTGCACATCTTTTGTTTTATGCTCATAGACTATACATGCTTGAACTACATAGTCGCAATGCTTCTATTGGTTAGTTGTATGAGCACACGTAACCACCTTTTTTACCGTAGAATTCCGAAAGTAACGGCCCCCGTTACTTTCAGATTTAGCAGGCAAAAGTCATCAGTTGCAAAATAGAAACAAAAACATACAACCAGGAGCTTAAGAAAAGCATACAACAACGCATTTTGGCAAGTTTCCTAACCGCTTCCCTCAATTAGCTATTGTGCTACAATTTATACAGGTGCCAACATCTCCTATCACTGCCAAGATTCTTTAGTTTCTTAGAAAGATGTTGCAATCATTTGGAGATTTGTGTCTGTCAGTCTGTCTGTCAGGAGCAAAAATAAAACTCCTTCCGGTCACTCAGTTATCTCGTGATCGGGCTACGAAGAAAATCTTTTTTCCCTTCATTTTAGCTCTGTCATTCTGGAATTCCATTTACATGAATGGCAGGAGGATAACTGAAGTAAAGTCAAATTATGTTACCCCTGAAAAATGTCTCATTACGATAAAAAAGAGAAAAAATAAGAGGAAAGTCAGCAGGAAATTTACATCTCAAATAGTCTGCAAATTAGGCCTTTACACCTCCCGGGTAATTTTATACCACAATTTCCCACCTCCAGGGGTACAAGGAAAAGGGAAGCGGTCGGGGAAAATTCCCAGAAGAATCACATGAGTTAAGCCTGGGTGCTTGCTGCTGCGAAATCACGGAAATAGAATAGCGCTTGACGTCACGCCAGGGAATCGGGTTATTTCCCCGGAAATTGATTCTCATTAGATATAAATCAAGCGTGACCTCCCATTCGCTTGCATTTCAGGTCTTCGGTTCTTAGCGAAACAGAGCCATCGATCGAGCCATCGGCAACAAGCTCTGTGATTTTAATCATGTTGAGTTACATCAACGCTTTTTTTGCACTGATCCTGTTGTGTTCAAAGCTGGACAATATCGATGGAGCAGCAGTGAAGTCTCGCGGACTCGGACCAGCGAAGCCATGTTCGCCAGACATCTGCAAGCTTCCCGATTGCCGCTGTAGCGGAGTCGACATCCCAGGGAATCTACCGAAAGAGAAAGTCCCCCAGATGGTCATGCTGTCCTTCGACGACGCTGTGAATGGGCAAGTCTATGGCTTTTATGAGACTCTGTTCGCGGATGGCGAGCTGAAGAATCCAAACGGATGTAATGCAACGGCGACCTTCTTCGTCTCGCATGAGTACACCGAGTATCAAATGGTGCAAGCGCTGTACCACAACAGACATGATATAGCAGATCACACAATCTCACACAGGACGCCGACTAGCTGGTGGAAGTCGGCGAACTACAGCCAGCTGACGGACGAAATAGTGGGACAGAGAGAAATTCTGCGGAAATGGGGACAGGTTGAGGTAGAGGACGTGGTGGGATTCCGGGTCCCCTTCCTACAGATCGCTGGTAACACCATGTATCAAGTTCTTTACGATAACAAGTTTCTATACGACTCGTCCATGCCTACTCAGAAATTTATGGATCCGCCGATGTGGCCGTACACCCTAGAATATCAATCAACACAGGAATGTGTTATTCCACCATGTCCGACCGGTGAGTGAGCCGCAAGAAACAATAGCTTAGTAAGGGAGGGAGAGAGGGGATCATTTTTCCACCTTTGAATGGACTTACTGGAAGTTCTTTTCACCTAGTGCCCGTACCTAGGAATCGCGCGGTTATTCATGCCGTCCCGAAGTTTATTCCTAGGATCTGGAATAGAGTCAAAGACCTTTGCAAAGTAACCCAATTATATTTTAACAATAATTCAGACATTCATGGAGCACTTTGTTAGAAATTTAAGACTGCTGAAAGCATATATATCAGGAAAACATTGAATCTGTGAAAGGAATTAATCAGGGCGCTATAAACTATAGATGTGGGACACGTTTCGGGAGTTGTATGAATTTTTTGACATTCCAACCAAAACAAATTTTGGTTGAGTATTTACTGACGAAGTAAGATATGACGGTTGCACTGTGCCATGAGACAGTGTTGTAATAGATTCTTGTAACTGAGGGAATGGGGTCTAAGTTTTTGAATGTTTTTTCATCATCCAAACATTTAGAAATTTAACTAAGCTACATCCCCCTTCATCGCCCCCCCGTCCTCAAACATACACACGCACACGCACTTCCCGCTACATTAGTTAACCTTTCCGCTTTTCTCAGAGAACAGTACCTTACAGGAGGGAGTCATGTAGATACTGGAAAGATTGATAGTTCTTTGTTCTTTCCAGATTCATTCCCAGGTCTCTGGGAGGTCCCTATGATTGATTACAACGATTCACGAGGTATGCCGTGCAATATGATTGACGGCTGTTATCCGCCAACCAACGAACAGGAAGCGTATGATCTCCTGTCCAGCAATTTTGAAAGACACTACACGTCCACCAGCAGGGCACCATTTCCAATGTTCATGCACGCTGTTTGGTTTCAAAAATACCCCTTCACTCTAACTGGTGAGTAATGAAAAGAGAGCATGAAGAGTAAGAGAAGTAACTCCCCATACAGGCCTTATGTCCAAGGTAATCCCTCTCAGGTTATTGTTAGGTATGGTGTCCAGTAATTTTCCAGTGGATAATGTTGCCACACGCGGTTGCCCAGTATGTAACTGCATGTAAATTAGCGTTTAATTTAGGCTGTCCACTTGAGGACAATTCGCGTGACTGTGAGGATTGACTAATTCTTCACCGGCTCCTGGAGGGCGTTGTGGCAACAATTTGAGAGGGATTGCCTTAGGAATAAGTCTTATTTAAGGAATTATTCTCTTAAGCTTCATCATCTCTTTCTTGGTAATGATTAGTTATTGTCACTAAATTAAGTAAAATACTTTTTACTTGAGAGTGGGGAGTTACTAGTATTGCCTTTGGTTAAGTGTCTCCTTAGTAACTGTATAAGAAACAGGCTACTTTCTCTTCCAATCAGAAGTAAAATCAACTCTACTGTAAATTGCTCAGTCACAATTTTTCGGAGGTTAAACCGGCTCTGAGAATGTATCGAACAATGTATCCTGAATTTCATGCTGGCAAAAAAAAATTGAACAGGGAAACGACGAACATTACCAACTGTTCAGCTATAATAATGGCACGCTGAGATGAACTTTGAATAAAACATGTTTCGAAGGTCAAATAAAAAAAATCGCTTTGACGTAAGTTACCGCCATTGTGTGGGTTTAACATCGCGATTCATTATGTTTGTTGTTAATTTTGTAAACCTCAACGACTTCCAGTAAAACCGAAAAGCGACCGATTCCTTGGTAAACTATACATTTTGTTTATTTTCAGCGGTGAAGAAATTCCTGCAGGACATACTCTCTCGTGGAGATGTGTGGATGCTTGGCATTAAACATGTCATCGAGTGGATCAAATCACCCACCAGCCTCGATGATATCGAAAATTTTGCACCGTGGAAATGCAACTCCCCTCCCCCACCCCCTCCGTGTGATACCCCAAACGTCTGTGGCTTCCCTGACGATCCGCACTACCTGTACACCTGTACTCGTCCATGTCCGAAGCATTATCCCTGGGTTGGAAACCCGGATGGAAATTAACGCGTGTACATATCCCGGAAGGATTGATGGATGCCCTTGACAGAGATAAGAATTATCCCGGATGAAATAATTTGTTTTCTTTGTTTGTTTGTTCGTTTAGTAAATTTGTAAGCAATGTGATCATTGTGCTGTAGGAACCAAAGACCGAACTGAGACGTGAAACGTGGTTTTTGTTTTCAATTTAGCATCGAGACCATAATTAATTGAAAGAGTAATAATGGCCGGCAGTGGACTCTCAGTTGTCAGTTACGATTACTGTGCATTCAGTTAAAATCTCAGCTAATTTCTCTTGGATCTACACACAACGATGACTGTTTGTTGTGAAACCTTATTTTATGATAGTGTTCAGGTAAAATTGTCAGAAATCGGGCTCGTTATGATGTACAACGGCCTTTAGGTTTTATCTCAGATCCAGAATTTCAAGTAATCAAACACCTTATTGTAGTTGACAATGTATTTGCAATGCAGGAATAAAAGAAAGTAACAAATTTTTAAATGTCTGTCTTTCATTTGATAACTTTTTTTAAATATAACCCAAATACATCAGTTTGAATAGTCCAGCTTTTCAAAACCGATTTGATCACAGAAATCAAAAGTTTATAGAAACAACAAACAGGCAATTAGGACACAAACAATAGGACATAAATAGAATATAATCACAGACATAAAAAGTATATAGACTCACATTTTGCGACAAAGCTTTTTCACGAATCTAAATAAGAAAAGGTGAAATAATCACCTTACATTTATAAACCTACTAAAAGAATTAAGAAGCAAGAATAACGCGTTACAGCGCTTTCAATTTTAAAACCGTGCCAGCACGCGTATCAAAAATCCATATCTATTAGCCCGTTTACGTTTTCCTCGACCCTGCAAATAGACAGTTGCTGATAACTCTTCACATTTTCGACAAAAGGACGCAAGGAAACGTGTTTTGGTCCAGGTTGTCGGACAGTTCGAAAATCGGGATTCCAATGCCCGCTCTCCCCGCCTATCGCCTATAGACGACCTACGATTGCATTATTTTGCTAACTCGTGGTTGCTACTAGTATTACAAATATTCATATGAATCCGCGTGCCTTTTGTTACTTTTTTTTAAAACGGTTTGCGTACGTGACAGCATTGATGCACTATCTCTCGTAATCTCTATTTTCTCAGGGGAGGTGTAGCAATCATAATTTAAGAAGTCTTGTAGGGATAAAAAAAGAATCCAACTGCCCGGAACGTCGCCCCGAACGGTTTTCTTCCTTTCTTTCCGAGGAAAGTCACTACAAAATTTTTATCTCAAATAGCTCGCAGATGGCAATTTTCAATCCCCAAAAGGCCTCCATACCACTCGGGTCACCAGCGTACCCGAGTACCCCCCTGGGGCATATGGTAAAGGGAAGTCAGGGATTAACCTCTGCTCTGGGGAATCCCTGGGCGAATCATATGATTCAAGCTGAGGTATTTGTTCCCATCAAATTACGGAAATAAAATGCTACTTGACGTCACTTCGAAATCTTGGGGTTGTTTTTTCCCGGAAAATGATTTTCAGGGGAAATAAATTTATGTGACCGCCGCTCCTAGCATTTGAGGCACTTAGCTTTAAGCGAGACATAATCATACCAATCGAACGGTTGGCCGCTAGCTAGCTCAGTGATTTTAATCATGTTGAGGCAAATTAATTCCGTATTTGCTTTGATCCTGTTGTGTTTAAAGCTGGACAGTATGTGTGAAGCAGCAGTGAACTTTCGTGCACTCGGACCAGCCAAGCCATGTTCGCCAGACATCTGCAAGCTTCCCGATTGCCGCTGTAGTGGAGTCGACATCCCTGGGAACCTACCTAGCGAGAAAGTCCCGCAGGTGGTCATGCTGTCTTTTGATGACGATGTGGGCGAGCCAAACTATAAATATTACGAGACTCTGTTCGCGGATCGCGAGCTCAAGAATCCAAACGGCTGTGACGCTACGGCGACCTTCTTCGTCTCGCATGAGTACACTGATTATCAAAAGGTGCAAGCGCTGTACCACGACAGGCACGATATAGCAGATCACACCATCTCCCACAGGACGCCGACTACCTGGTGGAAATCGGCGAACTACAGCCAGCTGACGGACGAAATAGTGGGACAGAGGGAAATTCTACGGAAATGGGGACAGCTTGAGGCAGAAGACGTCGTAGGATTCCGAGCCCCTTTCCTGCAGACCGCTGGTAACACCATGTATCAAGTTCTTTACGATAACAAGTTTCTATACGACTCCTCCATGCCCACCCACGACTTTACGAATCCTCCGATGTGGCCGTACACTTTGGACTATCGATCAACACAGGAATGTGTTATTCCACCATGTCCGACCGGTGAGTGAACCCCCCCACCTCCCGCCCCCCGAGAAGAAAAGCTGATTCCGGGAAGTGTGGGGGAGAGAAGCGTTTAGTTTTTGTGGATTAACATTTGTCTAACTTAAATTACAGTCCTTTTACCAGCTTTCCTTTCACTAATGTGTGACGTTTGGCGTCAGACGTATTTCTACTATGCCACTTCGAATAGCAACAACTAAATAAAAATACTTAAAGTATAAGTCAATCAATTAAAGTAACTACACTTTAAAACTGGCTTACGGGAATTCCTCCATGACAAAAAACATGAGTTTCACTTCCGGAGAGAATTTCACTCCGTTTTATTCCGCTTGAAAACCTGTTACGGAATGCAAGAGTTCTAACTAATGGAGTGGTTTTAGTTAGATAAATATCAACTAATGGAATCGATATTTTCTGTGAGGAAACCAGAGCTGAATGAGTGGAAATATTTCTTCCAAAATCTAGCCAATCAACTCGTATGTCTTCGGTCAGAACCACCTTTTCCTCGTTCCAGCGCCCCGCCGTCTAAGAGGGACTGGTGGCACTGGAATCGAGAAAACCGTGCGTCATCAGTGTTCTCCTGGTAGGTGATTCATTTCATTATGTCCAGGCGCGTTTCCCCCGCACTCCCTCAAAAGAAGAATTTAAACAAGTCCCCTTCGCCGTAGACTCCGAGCAGTTTCTTTTTTCCTCGAAAATCCGCAAGGAAGAACGCAAAACAAGTAAGTGCGCAAGCGTGACGTGCGAGCGGCGATGCCCGCGCTTCTTGGGGCTCGCGGTATCGCCGCTCGTCGCTCGCACGTCACGCTCACAATTACGCTCGCAATCTTACTTGTTTTGCGTTCTTCCCCACGGATTTTCGAGGAAAAGAGACCGCTCTAAGTATACCTCCTCCAGCCTTATTTTATTTACTATCAACTGTATTCAATCTCTTGTTCCCAGATTCATTCCCAGGACTCTGGGAGGTTCCCTTGGTTGATTACAACGTTAACGATTCACGAGGTTTTCCCTGCGATATGATTGACGCCTGCTTGCCGCCGCCTACGGGTGGACCGGACGTGTATCATCTCCTGTCCAGGAATTTTGAAAGACACTACACGACTAACAGGGCACCATTTCCTATGTTTATGCACGCTAGTTGGTTTCAAGCATATCCGTTTGCTTTAACTGGTGAGTAATGACAAATCAGTGTTCCTGAATTCACTTAAGAGCGCAAATTTCACTCGAGTATTGAAAGCAGTAAGAGCTCTCTTAGGGTTAAAGTTTTGAAAATTTAAGGTGGCTCTGAACCCTATGTAGACTTGTCAAAAACTTTGCCAAAAGTTGCGATTTATCACGCTCATCAAAATTTGATAATATAAAAAAATTGACCTTGCCGTTTTTGAATTATAAGCCCCTAGAGCTTTCATTAGGGTTGTTTTTAGCAGGTCATACTGTTTCTATGGTAATCTGTTGTGTCACGAAATTGATAACGTGTTCACCAATGACTGGGCAGTTTTTTGATACCATGATTGTAGCATCAAGTGATAAAGAGTGGTTATAATGACCCATCAAAATTTAACTCCTGAAAACTGTTTTTTGAGCCACCTTAAACTAGTGTTCTTAATGTTGTTCATTTTCAGCCATGAAAAATTTCCTGCAGGACATACTCTCGCGTGGAGATGTGTGGATGCTTGGCATTAAACATGCCATCGAGTGGATCAAATCACCCACCAGCCTCGATGATATCGAAGATTTCGCTCCGTGGAAATGCAACTCCCCTCCCCCACCCCCTCCGTGTGACACTCCAAACGTCTGTGGCTTCCCTAATGACCCGCACTACCTGAGCACCTGTACTTCTCCATGTCCAAAGCATTATCCCTGGGTTGGACACCCGGATGGAAATTAACGCGTTTTGATATCCCGGATGGATTGATGGATGCCCTTGACAGAGATAAGAATTATCACGGCTTTCTTTTTTTGTTTATTCGTCTAGTAAATTTGTAAGCAATGTGATCATTGTGCTGTAGGAACCAAAGGCCGAACTGAGCCGTGAAACGTGGCATTTGTTTTCGATTTAGCATCGATACGATAATTAAATAAATGAGTAATAATGGCCGGCGCTGGAATCTCAATTATCAGTTACGATTACTGTGCTTTCAGTTAAAATCTCAACCAATTGCTCTTGGATCTACATACAACGATGACTGTTCGCCGTGAAACCTCATGTTATGATAATATTGAAAAAAGTTGTTTGAAATCGGTCTGGTTATTATGTACAACAGCCTTAAGGTTGTTTCTCAGATCCAGAATTTTAAATTCAGGTAATTAAGCACCTTATTGCAGTTGACAATGGATTTGAAATGAAGGAATAAAACTCTCTCATTATTTGGAATTTACAATAACGTTTAAATTATTGTTCTTTTGAATAGTCTCACTTTATAATTGCGAAAGCGATATCATCAGACACCCAAATTAAGTCTAAAGAACTTGGAAATAGGATACAAATATAGGAGATATTATGACCACAGATATTTAAGAAATAGAAAACATGTACCGCGTTTCTATCGAGTTATAGAAACTCGAGTGGAAGTTTGGGAGASCGAGAAATGCGGTGGGWACACGAGCCGCAGGCGAGTGTTTCCACAGCTTTTTCGAGTTCTCCCAAACTTTCAGGAGTGTTTCTATAACTCGAAAGAAACACGGAGAACATGTTTTCTATTTCTTTTAGAAAACACAGCGACGAAAAAAAGGAAAACAACTTGTTAACTTTGATTATCAAAATGTAAATTCTATTTGCTCGTGCCATCATTACGTCAACAGCTGGTGCTAGTTCTGTGTTTCTATCGAGTTATAGAAACACGATATTTAACCAATCAGCGCGCGTATTTTCTTAGGACTGTTTTCTAACAAAAATTATAGAACAAACAAACAGGATACAGTAATCGTCAGAGTGAGGGTAGACCCTCACGCCGACGATCATGATCACACTTTACAAACCAATGATACTCCTGAGTTCAGACCATTTGCTACACAGGATACAAGTAGGATACAAATAGAATATGATCACAAACGTTAATAGACTTACATGTTGTAACACCGGATGTTCACGACTCTAAATAACACAGGGTAAAAAAAGAATAATGTTTATAAACCTAATCAGAAACAAAACGCATTGGAACGACGCTGTTGCAGCGCTTTTGATATTAAAACCGTGCATATCGCGATCAGACCAAATAAAATCCATTTCTACAAGCCAGCCAGCCAGCCAGCCAGACAGACAGACAAACAGACAGACAGACAGAAGGACAGACAGACAGACAACCTCTATCAGTAAAGCACCATTGAAAAGTAAAGTTCTGTAGCTTATGGGGTCTTTTTGTTTTTCCTTTTTCCTTGACCTTGCAAATAGATAGTTACTGATAACACTTCATGTTTTCGATTACCAGTTAAATTTAAGGATTTCAAATGAAACAAATGCCAGGAAACGTCTTCTGGCTCACGACAGGTTCTCGGACTTTTCGAACAATCGGGATTCCACCGCATAAAAAGCAAGTATTTCAAACTCACTGAACGGTCTGTAGGTTGTTACATGCATAATTCCTCAGCCTTTAGCAGTATTCAAGCACCATATTGCATTTTATTGGATTTCAGAACTAATATAAACTAATGAAATTTATTTGCTATGCATTGACTTCTGCTTTACATCTTTGTAAAGATTGAAACACTAAGAAAGCTAATTTCGATATTTCAAAATTCGAACTTGGTTCCGAGGGTTAGAGCAACAAAACAACAAAAAATCATTAAGTCATCTCTTAATTTGCCCTCGATGAGATTTCTATTTCTTTATTTCCCATAAACCTCGGCAACAAGTTCGAATTTTAGAGGAGCTACGTCACGGTTTGCACATATTGAAAAGTTTAGCCTCAATTTTTCAAATTCGTCGTTTGTAATCCGTGTTAATCTTCTCCATCCTTAGCCATCCTTGTTCCTTTATGGTTTATCATGATCTCTTTACTGTTTTTCTATCTTATTTAACTGTTATTTTCAAGTTTCCTTCAGGATTTAAAGGTAATTTTGTATGTGACCGAAATAACTCAAAATACCGTGACTGAACTCTTTTAATATATTGACCTTGGCCTATTGCAGACCTCCCTCTAGCTTACAATATATTAGATTTCTGTGAGAAACTGCCTGAAAATGTACTAAAAGCACAGCGAGGATATAATTGAGCACTCGAGGGCAACACTCCTCGTACAGGAGCAGAATCTCCTCATTTTTTGTTGGTATCTGCAATCCTTTTACCTTCGTCACCGACCGCTTTTACACGAAAGCAGTCATCTACACTGTCAGAGTTCTTGCTTTTAGTTGTGTATCCGGATGGGCAGGACTGGCACCTGACCTGACCTTCTGTGTCCTGATAACTACCAATATCACACTCACGACAGTGTTTGGTTGATGTGTCCAAGAAAAACCCGGGGGGACATCCAACTGTTTATTACAAGAAAAATACAAGATGATCAACATACAAGATAATCAACATGAAGGTAAAGCAAACTATTCACTATTTACTTCCTACCTTCTTTTCCCCCTTCCTTACACCCTCCCTTCTTTTCTTTCTTCTTTTTTTTCACTTACGTCCTCCGTCCCTTCCTTTATTTCATTCCATTGCATGTTTTGTTTTAATTTAAATTCTCAAATTCTAAAACCTTAGGTACCATTTCAAATGAGTTAAGACGGCGGTTCAAAGAATAACATTCATCGTCAAAACACAGAGAACCTTCACATAGAAGATCGGCCCAGCTGGTCAAATCAACACGGATAAAGGTGACATGACTGAACTCGGAGGAAGGCACTGTTAATTAAACTTCTAATATGTACTACAGGACTGCCATAAAGAGCTGATACAGAGTTAAGGTTTCGAAGACGTGCATGGGGCAGCTTGAGGGTGTCAATGATTCTTTGAGCTTTTACAGCTTGAACTTTGTCGGCTTTGGAAGGTTCAACACCCCGAAGAGGGATACTCTCAGAAATTGGGTGGGGGTGTGCGGACCTTTTCCCTAAACCCTTACCCTATTTAAGACCAAAATCTACTATTTTCCCTGCCCTACTTATGACCTGACCAAAAATTTGATGTCCTATTTAAGACCTGACCCTTAAGTCTACACCCTGTTTCAGACCTGCCTTATAATGAAAAAGTAGCATCTCCTAAAAGAAAGTACCCAATTCAAGTCTAGGGTGAAAAAAATAATGCCTTATCTGAGACCAAAATGGCAAAATTCGATACCCTATTTCTGACCAAAATGGCTAAAACACCATACCCTTTGGGGCCGTACATACCCATATAGCTCATATGAGGGAGTAACACCGGGGATTTAACCAGAGCCCTCAGGAGACTGCCTAGGTCCTAACAGGATGGATCAACAAAGGTTTGACGAGTTTACAAATATTTTAGTTCCCACTTACCACACGAGCTATTCCCAATGTCGGTAAAGTAGCCCAAACCACAAGTGAACTCAGAAGACAAATGCTGCAGCGATCCTTGCCTTGCTACTAACACGTTTTCATTGACGTTCATGGCGAACTGCCCCATGGAAACTACGTACCGTAGTTGAAAGGCAACCGAGCCTGCCTTTTCAGCTGCATTTGGTGCCGATGCATTTCTCTTAGACGCCCTGAAGATAACTGTACACTCTATTGTTGTAATGGAATCGGAGCCAACTGCTCGTTTTTTCCTTCGTCCAGTAAAACTTCCACAACCAGATACCTTTACGTCTCCGATGCTGCACAATCCAGACTCAAAGCACTCGTATTCCGGTAATGGTCTCATTGCTTGCAGGAATGCTTCACGGAAGGACGTCTCTATCTCCATGAACTGCTGCTTCGTTCGGCAGGTCTGCGTCAATGGAAACTGTAAAGATATACGTTGGCGCATTTCCTGTGGGGAGGATGATGCTGCAAACAATAGAACAGTAGTAATAATTGGTAAAGGAGAACTCTTTGGCCCAACAGTTCCTTTTCTTTTTAACCTGCGAGCCTGCGTATATATTCGTATGTATGTTCATTCAGTGGCGAAAACCCAAGCTCATCTTCAACCAAGATTTTCCCTAAATGCATCAATATATCATTACGAATTCTAAACCTGTGCCCTTTTGCATTGGGTGATTACTAAAACTAATTGGATTGAGTGGAGTGCAATATAATTTAGGGGTACACGGCGACTAATAGCCTATATATTTCCGAGTTACCTTGCTCCTTTATTTCAAAACAAGTCCTTGTGCAAATCTTTAAATTGATATGAAAGTGGGTTTGACACAAAGGCAAAAGGTAACGCGGAAATGGCCTATTTGACGTAATCGGACGATCGTGCAGCGCGAGGCCGATTTGAATTTAACAGCACGACTTCTAAATTAATAGACCTCTTTAGCTTGGGCGGTTTGTTTTCCCATGGTAGACTACGTGATATTCTCTAGAGAATTTTTCTTTTATCCATCTTGAAACTATTCATTCATATGCATGCGACTATTTACAAATTTGAAAGCAAGAATTCTCAAGAGTATCATCACGTGGTCTGAAATGGGAAAACAAAGCGCCCAAGCTAAAGAGGTCTATTGTACGACACGAGGTCCAATTACTCATTAATTGTATCAGTTACAAATTTCGTGATTAAAAAAGTCTTGTGAGAACTTCTTTTGCTCGAAGAAATCATTAGTGTGCTCCATAAATTGTAAACACTGTACGAAACATTTGAGAAGGGAACCATTAAACGAATGTAATTGACATGCGAATGGTGTTGGCAGCCAATTACAGGCATCCAATTGCAAAAAGTTTAAACTGGATACCTGAATTGGACGGCCACATAATCGTGCGCTGATCACGTCACAATAGGCACTCGGAGAACCAATTACGATCTAAAATTTTGTTACGGATACGATTAAGTAAACAATTGACCTCAATCCGCTTAGTAATCGTACAGAATCAGAAATATACATTTTTATTACTATTCCTTATTTGTCAATAATTTTAATTTTTTTTTTGCTGTGTCCCCAATTAGTTATGAAAACTAAATACATTGACACATTAATAAAGCTTTTACTTACTTACTTACTAAATTCTCATTGAGTAGGTTCTGCAAGCAAAACAAAGCTGAATCCCAGAGATAGTGATCACCCTCTGGCAAGTGCTGAATCTTCTGGGTTTTATTTGGCATTTAGATCTAAATTTATACCATACCCAAATTCGCAATTAGCCAATCAGAAACCCTGTGTACTGTCCTCATATCTTGCGATATCAAGTTATTGATATAAGGCTAATTTACGAACAAACTCACTACGATGGCACTTTTAAGCCAGCTACGGGTTGACCAGACATGTCGTTTCTTGGTCTAGTCTGGCCTTAACGTAAAAGCAGGAAAGTTTTAGGTCATCATCAGATTTCCAGACTACAACAGAGCATATAAAATAAAGATTTAGATACTTACGAAGGCATTTAGGAAGAGTCTTGATGACTTCTCCGTTCCATTTCCAACTTGTATCAGGTCCACACTCGTATTCGATAACAGCGCTACTGGAAAATGCCATTCCATTTTTACAGCCCAGTGTACATCCTTGCTTTCCCGAGTAACTCATACACCGTTTATATCCATTCACTGGTTCATCCAACGGCTCGCACTCTGTTGAGGAAAACGAGAAACGCCAAGCTCATGTAAAGTTGAATGACAAACATAAGAACAGATAAACTTGAAACAGACGAGATGCAATGTGTTTGAAACAATTGAAAAACAGAGAACCAAACTTACCAATAAAAGCTTTCGAACTGATTTACGATTAACAATTACACAAGTGACAATGGACAACTTATTTACCCTTTTCATCGTTGATAGCCTGTTCACAACGGCTTCCCCAAAATCCTTTGGGACATTCGCACCTGTACGAGTTAATGCCATCTATGCATTTCCCACGGACACAGGAGCCTGGTGTACAGTCGTTTATGTTGGTGTCACAATGTGTACCTGTATATCCCGCTTCACATTTGCAAACCATTTCGTCACCGGTACGGTTTTTACATTCAATTATATGGGAACAGTTCTTTTCACACAATTCCAGGGCTGTAAAGAAACATTTTGCGTGTAAATGGGAATGCAACTACTAAACTTTTCTACTAAGGAATCTTATTTAATTTATTCTTCTTTTATTAGGTATAACGCCATTGCTCATGTCAAATGGCAGCTTTTCCAGCTGTTTTGCGGT